TGTATAATAACTACAGTGGGAGCCATTGTTGAAGGGTGGGAAGTAAATTTCTAAATGTGTTTTGCTGCTCTCTGTTGCTGACTGATGGAGTATAATGATCAATTGAAGTGTAGCCTGTTAGTGAAAGCTTCAACATTTGCTGTTTCGGCTGTGTTCAGGCCAACAATAGCATGTGCGTTTACATGCACTTAAAGTTACTGTCGGCTTTCTGCAGTTCATTGATTTCTTCAGCGTTAGTGTACACAAGAACCCGGTTTCTGGGTAATCAGGGGAGGGGGATTCGAGCATACCTTAATTTTTTTCCAAGGAAAGATTTACCCTTTTTTTATTATGTATATCACGTTATACCAGGCTGGCAGACAAAGTTTACAGACCATGGATAGGGAGTGAAAATGTATTTAGCAATATTGCCATTATTTGATTATTTCATTTTCATTACGAATTGAGCGTCCTGTTATATCAAAATGTGAAAGGTATTCGTGGTAGTGCTCGATTATTTCTGGTGGCGCCATAGTAAGGTACACTGCACTGAATTTCATAATAACCATACATCACGCAAGGCACTCATCATGGGCCTATTCAACACGGTCTTCCAAAACACACTTACAACATACACACATATTTCAACACATACAAAAGGTTCATTTAGGATGTGTTCCTAGTACACACACAATCACTCTCTCATATAGCCTCGTCCACTCAAGAAACTGCTGGCCATTACCCTCAACTGCCTATCAGTTGTGTTTTCTTGCTTAATATCCATTATCATGAGCAAGTCAATATGTTTGTCCTCCATCAGCTGTGTAGTGGTCACAGCTAGTTACGTATTCTTTAGTGGCTGGACTTTTATTGAACCAACTTTTATGTTCCTCACAGGTACATTACTCTGCTGGCGACTTATGGGATCTCAAATGACAAGGTCGCATTAGTCTCCACACCGAGAAAAATAAAACTAAAAGTGGATCTTACAGCAACCAGGTTACTGCAGGTCATGCAAACATGTTTGCTGCATAACTTGATTTCCCGCAGACTTCTTGTGTGCATATAAACATACTCAAGATCGCTGTGTTGGCAGTTGGCGCATTGGTGGCGCCGCTGTGGAAGAACTCTGGCAAAAATACAAACACAGGAGAAATTGCAAGGTCATCTGGGACAAAATAGTTGATTCTGCCACAGCACAGCGTCATCCTGGGACGCATTGCTGCGGTCAGACACCAGTTTTGATCCCACAAACACGAAATGGAGACAAACATTATTGCTGCCACGCTAACTGTTGAAGAAGACTTAGTGGAGAATACGAACTTTGTTGTGTCTTTGTGGGCTTCACACCATCTTCTCACCACTAAGCTGTAGCAACATGCCTACACTATGTGTGCATTTGATCTGAATGTGCCCTTTAGCCTTCTATCGACTGAGGCCAAAAAGAGGTGTCAAAGGTGGCAAGAAAGTTTGTTTGGAATAAACAAAAAGAGTGTGTGCGAGCAGAGACTCTTAATGCACTGCCAGGAGTTGTCATTAATGTTGACAGGGCTCTTGCAGATCACCGCTGTTAAAAATAGAGAGAGTTTTCCTTCCAGCGAGGCCCATGAAGACCTGACTTTTAGATTTGCTTACTCGCTCCAGCTAGACATGTGTGTCACTCAGCACTGGAAACAGCACATAAGATGGAAAACATTTGAATGGGCCTGTGAAAGGTGAGCAGCCCTCTCTTTTATTTTCTCCCCTCTCTCTCTCTTTATCTTCCCCTCTCTCACTTTCTCTCTCTCTCTTTCTCTCTCCCCTTCCGTCTCCCCGAGGCCCGCGTGTCGCCTTACCCAGGGGTTTAGCCCCTAATCACCCAGAGCTAGTGGGAGGGAACCGGAGACTTCCAGCTGGCTGCCTCGTTACTGCAGACCCCTGGGACGGACACACGCACACACACACACACACACATTCCTACACACACCAGCTAAACACACACACGACCTCATATATGCTTACCAAAGCATTTGCTGTTATCTCTTGGCATCTCTCCATCCACGTCTCCCCCACAACTCGATCCTGCCAAGGCCACAGCCTCGCCACCTAAACTAAATAACAGGAGGAGGCTTACTGCAGGAAGGGGGCCAAATCTCTGGCACGTCCTCCACTGCAAACCAGTTTAAACCAGTATTAAATACGAACTTTCTCTATACTCTAAAGCATACACACTGTATAAGTGTGTGATCCTATGTGTGTCTTTACTAATGGTGTCAGACTGTCCTACAGACTCCAGTTGCTACTTTCTTACAGACGACCATCTTTCTCTTTCAGGAGGGATCCATACGATTACCCCACCCACTCCAGATCCGTGCCAAGAGAGCCAGCCCCCTACTCCTACCACGACCCTCCTGCTTCCAGCCACCCCGGCCGCATGCCGCTCCCCCAGGCGGGCACGCAGCCCCACCAGGCGGGCACGCAGCCCCACCAGGCGCCCAGCAACCAGCGCTACTACCCCTCATCCCCCCACGCAGGGCAGCAGCAACGTGCACCGGTAAGGCAGGACCTTCCCCCTTCGCCCACCGCTGGGCGCAGAGGGCGGCACTACTACGAAGCCGTCGGGGGGCGAGGGGACGGATACCAGCAGGCCAACCCAGGCCGCTACACCAGCCCCGAGCGCTACGACTACGGAGACGACAGACAGCCTGACCCGAGACGAAAGAACCCCCTGATAGGTGCGGTGTAAAAGGTAGTCCTGAGTACCAGACCTCTCTCACCTAACCCCCAAAAGTGCGGTGAAGTTGAATCAGACTACAAAGGATATAAATAACTCCAAATTCATGTTTCCAGATTTGTGAAACATAATCAGCAGTCACCCAGGCTGCCAATGTGGATAAGTGAGATTTTGCCATATTAATTTATCTGATCAGGAAAGCTGAAAGCAATAAGTGACAAGCTGCAAGGCTAAAATAAGGCTTATTTTCAGAACCATCTGGTCATAACTGACTCCACAGGCCAAGACAGATTGAACAAGCATTAAGGTCTCATATGTACATATATATACATGTTCTCTCTGCTGCTGTACATTTGCAAATGTGCCAATGTTTATAAAGAACAGGATCTTATTTTGAAATAGATTTTATAATGTAGAATTAAAATGTAATTAAGGGCAATTCAATGAATTACACAGATATATAGAATCAACTCTATTCCAGCTAACTTTTTTTGCACAAGCTGATCAAACTGAAGGAAATAAAGGTGATCCCTTTGACCAGCCGGACCGTTATGTCAAAGGAGACACAGGAAGTTAAATTCGACAAACAGGAAAAAGGAAGTAACTCCCCTTCAAAGTATCTTCTTGTCCTTGATGTTTTGTCGCTCGGACTTCCTTTACATCCTGCTTTCACACTTTGCTATTTTTTTATATTTTTGCCTTTTGATTATTTGGATGTGGTTCAAACCTTTTACTGTACATTTGTAATGCAAATGAGTTCATTTGTGATATTTTTGTGGTGCTCCAATAAAATCTTTGATCAATGCGCAAGCAACACAGACATAAAGTTAAGCTGTGTGACACTGAAGCAAATAAAGAGCTTAATGAAACATTTTATCCTTCAACATATCATTGCTAAATGTCGCTGCACTGTAAACTCACTAAATGTGTCATCGATGGTTTGATTCAAACACACTGTCAAATAAATGCGTGATTTTTTTTATACAAATATTTTGCATTAAATGTTTTGAAATTGTCTCCCTGTGCCGCACCAGATCATTTTAGACTTCTCGTATTGGAAATATTCAGTCAAACTATGACAACCCCACCGGTCATCACTTTAAAAATTCATTACTAATATTCAGCTGAATTTCTCCGAGCACAATCTCCAGATAAATTTGCGCTGTGCGATGACTGATAAGAGTAGCCAGCGTTCTGATAATGACTAAATCATCTTCAACAATTAGAGGCAGGGAAATCTCCACTAGAAAATGATTACTGCCCAATTTGCTCTCAGAAATAAAGATGGCACTGATTGGTGAAATTAGACTTGAAATGGGGAATAATTAGAGTGTGGAGAAGGCTTTTTCTATCAGTTAGTGTTTAATTAGCATCAAGGCCAACAGGGACCGGGCCTCTGCTGATCTGTCTAGTCTCTGTACTGCTTTGACCCTCTCCTGTCTGAGCTGAAATAGACCTTTCACAACCTGCAAACACAGGCGGATGAATCATTGTATTTATTTACTGTTTAACCAATTTTCCCAGATAGAGTCAGACAAAAGATCAATTATCCTAATTCAGATGAGCCACAAGCTATCCGGCCAACTAACAGTAATAAACAAATGCTTATTATAACGCATTTCTATTCATATAGCATGTATTCAAAACACAAAACAAAACCAGAATAGATAAAAGCAGGACAAACAATAAAGGGAAAAGGCACAGCAGCTGTCTGCTGACCATCCTGTGATGATGAAATGGGGGAATAACAGTCCAAAGTTTCTTGCTGATCGGTGAAGCACGTACAAAGATGCAAAGCCAGTAAATTTACATCAAATGGTTGACTTGTCTTTTTTTCCTCCTTTTTGCAGGAATTGGCTACCGTCGTTCTATATTCACTGCCATTTCGCATCAGACACAAATATTTCAGTCACATTTAACACTTTCAAAGAGGTTTTTTGCATGTGTTAGTTCATTAACAGTCACATGTACCATCACTTTACCATTACCAAAGGAATTACCGTGCCGTGATAATGGCACGGTAATGGCATTATGCGATAGTAAGCATGGAACATTTGAAAAGGCTCTCCTTGGTGGGCCATTCAAAGACACTCAAGTATGAAAATGTGAGCACCAGCTGATGAAAATATTGCATTTAAGGGCTGTATTGTTAAACAGTAAAATCCAGAGCAACAAAACAAACAATGAGAGAGCCCTTGAGCACTTTTTTACTTTTTAAAAACTTAAAAAAATTAGCTTTCACCACGACAACTGAGCAACTCTTTCCACTGAAAACTCCCAGAAAAAAGCTAGAAACCAGCCCTTGAGTTAAGAGTTTATTATTCCCAAGGTCAAGAATGAACTTTCTACGGGTCTGAGACAATTAAATCTGGTAAGAAGCAAGTGGCTGCATAAAAGAGACAAAAAGTACAAAATATTTTAGGGAACACTGTCTAGGGAGTAGCAAATAAAAAGCCATCATTAACCTACAATCCTTAAATTTCACCAATGATAGTGTTGAAATATTTCACATCGATCTCATTCTCACTGAAGGCACAACAACTTACAGCACTTAAAGCAGGCTATTCACTGTACTTTAAAGAATAACTGCGCAGTAAACAGCCTCCTTCAAGTGCTTGTGGTCAGTTTGCTGCCAAAGACAATAAACAACAGCTACTGAACATCCAAGAACTAATTACATCCATTAAACAAAAGCTTTGAAATCACTGTCAGGAGTATTTGGCTGTAACACACATCTTACTGAAATTACACTTCCATCCATAGTTCATGCAATCTGTGTGTGTGTGTGTGTCTTGTGAGTGTCTCCCCTTTTGTTCATGGTCATTTGGAAGAGACTCTTTAGTTCAATGACATGACACTCAATCTCACATGGACTCAGACTGGACGCAGTCACGGCCGTTGATGCGCTGACACACATATTTTCATGCCTCACATCAGCTCTCACACCCTCGCCGTGTGAGGAGGGTTTCCTCTCTCAAACCACATGACCTCTTATTTCCAGGGACCCGTCCTTAAAAGCTATTTGTCTAGTCTCTACACCAGTTCTCCTTTCACTGAATTTCCCTTTACTGATTCTGCTAGGTTCTTTTTTGTGTTTCACTTACATTTTCCTCTTGTGTTATGAGGGTTTTTTTTTTTATTTCCTCGTGAATTAATTTGACACCTCATAAGCCCACATTCTTGTTGCAGTTCCTGAAAAAGGGAGGAAAAAATGCAGAAGCACATGCTGTTCCCCAGTCGATTGTCATGAACCACGGGTTGTGGGAGAATTCCCTGGTTATGTTCTCTTAGCATTACCTATTCTGCCGGCGCCCCTGTCGAACACCTTAGCTTGTTAGCATGTGTCAATCAAAAGCCGTGCTCTGGGGAGGGCAAAGTGGAGAGCTGAAACAGTTATCTCTCCCACACAGCTCCCAAAAAAGACAGAGCTGAGAAAGACAGGCAGAAAAAGATGGAGGGGGGGTGTATACAGTTGATAGAGAGTGTGTACGGGGACCCTCGCACTGCAGAATGAAGGTACGGGTGAGCGCCCACGGTGACCTCGGCGCGCTCTTGTCCGCCCCTCCCCTTTCATCCTCTTCATTAAAGGCACATTCCACCGCATTAGCCCGCTGTCCTTCTGTCCTTCACCTGCTGCCATTCATTTCAATTCGGCCCTCGTTAAGGCATCATGGTCTCGGAATCGAGAGCAGTCAGAGCGGGCCGAGCGGAGCTTCTCATTTAATTATACAGTTCATTAGAAAGCCACCCCTCCTCCCCCAACCCCATCCCAGGTCTGAGACAGGCCATGGGAATAGCTGGTGGCTAATGTGCAGTTTAAACGGCCTGAATATGGAGATTGGTGGAGTTATGGATTACCGTTACCCGTTAGCCTGCCCTTCACCCACCTCATTCGCTTTTATGTCTGCTGTGTAGCCCTTTGATACAGTATCACTCAAGTTGGAGTGTGCGCTTTCAGCCAGCATGTTTGTTTGATATTGTTCATGAGCTGTGAAATTGAATTTCCACAGTTGGGCTGATATTGGAAATAATTTCATATCCTGTGCAATATTCTTGCTTGGTTTCATCTTGTGCTGTGTTTAAGACATCCATTTTTACTTAATGTCTTTTTTTTTCCTCAGTAGCCGAGTCGATACGGCAGCACTGGTAATTTAGACCGTATTTACCCTAAAAGCAACGCTGGCTCTCTGGCTGCCTCCCGTTTGCCCACACACCACAGAAAAGCCACCAACCACCATCTTTTACACCAAGTGTCGCCATGGCAACGTGGCCGCCGCTCCTGGCACAGCAGCCCCTTTCAGAGCTGATGACATCGTCGTGGCAACAATGAAAGGTTCATATATCCCAATATGGAGAAAATTCCATTTCGGGTAGGGTCACTGAGCCCCTCATATACTGTAAAATCCTTGATGAAATACAACTTAAGTCCCTATTTTCTTTGCACCAACACTGCTACTGAGTAATATATAGGGAGCGTGCAGCTGGAATACCATCTGCATTACATTCAGGCTCTCACTTCAGTGTGGACTCTTCAGGGTTCAGTCAGTCAGCATAAATACAAACCTACATTCAGTGAGCTACAGCATTTCCTTGCCTTTGAGATATTTTTCCACTGGACAAATCAAAAACATTCAGTCTTTTAACCAGTGGATGGATCAGCGTGAGACCACTGAGTGGACTGCAGGCCTGTTCCCTGTGGGTTCCCACCTGAATAGAGCAGCAATGTGTTACTCCCAGGTTGAAGGGACTGCATTGTTTATTTGCTTCCTCTGCTAAGGAGGCTCAAAGCTGTTGAACTGGTCAGACCCCTGCCTCTGTACCCTCTTAACACCCCTGCAGGCCCCCGGCATCCAAACCCTCCAGAATCCCCTCTTTATATATCTCCCCCGACCCTCTCAGCTTTCCTATTACTCCGACAATGAAAAACACCAAAAAGCGCTGTGCGCTCTGGTGCTAACCCAAGGCTAGCAGCGTGGTTCACTGAGTTGTGCTGCGGCCAACAACAGCTGAAGTCCGTGACCCCTGGACCCCATCCATCAGCCTTTCAACGCCAACCCTGGCCTCTGACACACACAAAACGCCAGCCAGGGAATGGAAGCACGCAACAGGGAAATGCATCAATGTCAGAGAGACACTGGAACCATATAAAATTAAATGTAGGCACTTTGTCCAACACTTTGGACATGCCTACAGTGCAAATGTCTGCATGCAAGTTAACGCACACCAGTGTGGTTGTGCATGTCAGTATATAGTTATAAATGTTTCCAGAGCCCTAACGCTGCCAAACTGTGGTTTTGTGTGTGTGTCCAGACTGAGCTGTCTGTCATGCGCACACTCCAACCCTTCTGCTGTCTCTCACATACACATACCTGCCCTCGGCTCAGACACACACGAGCTGCAGGCACATCCGCATCGCTCTGCCCTCACACACGTTACCAGTACGTGTGTGTGTGGCAACGGCTCAGCTGACCGCCTGGCAGTCGCTGTGAAATTGGCACCCTTCTCATACAGATGCCAGGTGTTTTGCTTGGCAGTCAGGGGTGCTGGGGGTGAGCTTGTGTCAGGAGTGTTGGGTTGCTGTGAACGGCAGGGAAAGGATGGGGTAATATGTCGTGTGTCCCTGTTAGCCTGGCCGCTTGGCGAAGTTTGAGCACTGCCAGGCCCGGAATGAGAGACTGCTTAGTTTAAACGTGTCTGATAAATTGTCTTCTCTATAACCTGGAGGAATCTCAGGTGGTTTCCCAAACCCCACTGAAACGTGAAAGTATGAGCCTTTATTATTCTTCAATTGGGCATTTTTTTGACTTACGCGTGAGTGTAACACTGGCTTTAGATAGGGCCTTTTGCGTTTTTTGGAACAGGAGGGTGAGGTCAGGGCATTGCAATGACCAACTACAGATGCCACTAAACCCTACACACTGGTCCTTTAAATTAGGGGACTTGTTAGAGAGATCCAAACGAGAATGACCACAATCCATGCACCAGAG